TCGCTTATGACGTCCTGCTTGACCCGCTGTATTACAGTGTAGTTTGATTAGTGTTAATGCCCGATTTCCAAACGGTCACAACATTTGTTGTGAGCCGATGTTGGAGACCGTCTTGCACCACCCTCACAACAATGTTGGGGACTAACATTTCTAATGTTCTTGAAATGTGGTGAGGTTGTTGTGGCCAGTTTGACCGCTCTTGCCATGCAGTCACAACATGTCACAATCCTAGCAGTATGCGGGATTTTGCTTTGTCACACTTGAAACCTAGTTAACTATGGCATTAGCTCCCACGTAGTCTCCTGTAGCTCAGTGGTAGAGCGTCCTGACCGGTGATGCGGAAGGTCATAGGTTCGACTCCAGTTGGGGAACTCGGAATTCGTTCCGAGCAGACTTGTGTCACGGACAGAATAATATATTTCTCATGTCACAAACAAATGCTTGCGAGAATGTTGTGACCGTTTAATCGGGCCTTAAGAGTTAAGAGTGCTATTTACAGCCAGGATCAAACTTAACCAAAATATAACCTACAATTTGCAATTAATAGTATTTTGAACCACTAGAGTTTTATTAATAACATCAAAGAAAAAATATTTGTGTCTACTTTGCGATAACTTAGCATTCAATTACTTTGTTAACACGAAACTGTCCCACACTTCATGTCCAAAAAACTCATTAATAATTCATAAGGCCCATCCCCATAAAAATGTGTTGTTTCCCATCGCCCGACAGACCCAAGTTTTTTCAAAAAGTAAAAAAAAAAAGTTTCTGATTCAGTTGCAGTGCGGCCCTTTTTTCAGGAGTGTTTTCAAGTTTAATTTGCTTTATTTAACCTTTAAAGTCACTCTGGCGTCTAAATCAGAAGCAGTAATGACATATAGTAAGTGATATCGACAAATGGTAGGTCACGGGAAAGATAAAATCAAGGCTCGCTTGGAATTATTTATGTATTATTTGTCAATATTTCGTTTCTCGGCTTTTTTTTTAACCGACCGACCGACCCACTTTCACGAAAGATGGGAAACAAAACCTTCTTTTGGGATGGCCTAAAGAAAAAGAAGAAATCAATGTTTAATGAGTGTGTCTATATTTGCGGTTAAACTTTTAGCTCAATTTTCCTGTCTAAACAAACTAAATTTTCAAGATCATGATCAGATTGAATAGACTCAGATTGAATAGATTTAGGGGAAGCTTTGGAAGCCGTTTAAAAAACGGGCAGCAGCGTTGCTCGTTTTTATACTATATATATACTCCAAAAGTTATATAAAATATATAAACAAATTTTTTTAATATATAAATATAAAATAATACATTAGATTTACTTCATTTCGTGTAATCTTATAATAAAATGTCATCTGAATGAATTGAAACTTACTCTCTGCAGTGAAATTGCATGTATGTTATTACTGTAAAATATTCTTAGTCCACATGATATCATTAATTTATGACGGACTGTGTATTTCATCATACTAAATAATTAATAACATCTTCAATACTACTACACAGTTTTTGGAAATTATAGTTATAAGGATAAGGAGAATATCCAACCATAGTTACATGTAATAGAGCGAAATGGTTATGAAGTCTTTTGTTCGCTTTTTTGGTCTTGACCGTAGAATAGAATAGAATATAATAGAATCTTTATTTATACCACACGTATACAGAAACATCAGTAAGTTAAATTAGAAAGAAAACCTGACAAAATACAATAGGTGGTTACGTGTGTTCAAGCAACTAACCATAGAAACGTCTCGGTTACGTTATTCATGCATAGTGTATGAGCGCAAAACAAAAGATTGTGCACGGTCGTGGACCATCCAACATAAATACTGGCATCTTTGTTTGCTCCTTTGAAGTTTGCCGGGCTTCATAACCATTTCCCTCTATTAACTATGATCCAACACATACATTCAATTGCATGGTTGCTGGTGTTTGAAATAGATTAATAACGCATTAATTGTCATATATTTTCATTGCGTATGCTCCTATGCTTTATATTTATATTAAGATTTGATAGCTGTATGAAAATCATTTCAGTTTTCGCTCAGTAGGTGCAATCCTTTTGTAAAACGATGTAATTAAAATTTACTTTAGGAAATACAAATGAAAGTTAAATAGTGTTTACCTACTTCAACCTGATCTATATTCAACACTGAAAACATCTGCAATACGCCCAGCAAATTGAAAAGCGCTAGCGACTAGCTATATCGGACGAGTTACTAACAACAAGAAACCCTAGCAAAGTAGAAGAAAGGTTGTGACCATTTTAGTCAGATTAACAACAACAAAAACGCCATCTGCTATGTCTAACACCACTGCTGTAGTAATTCGCTGTGTAACTGTTGCTGAATCTCTGATCATTTTTGTTGCCAACATTTTCACCATATTCGTCTTCTGGAAGCACCGTAACAAGCTGATACGAACTTCCTTTCTTCTTATAAACTTAACTGTTGCTGATCTACTTGTTGGATTAATTGGGGCAGTAGTTTTATGGATCGTTTAAAATGCCACAGTATGTTCACCGAGTCAACAGCACTAGCATAGAAGATATTTTAGGGGCATTTCAGGTAACGTTTTTCATTCACGTCAGTATTTTTCCTCGTACTTCATTTCTCTGGAGCGTGCGTATGCTTTGATTTGGCCGCTTCGCCATCGAGCAGCAAGCACCAAACTTTACATTTACGCTGCAATTTTTGTGTGGGATAGCTGGTATATCGGTTGGAACATTGACTTTGCTAGCTGTATACCACATCTTAGATTTCGAACATTGGATGATTGTTCTCTGCTCTTCTCGTGTTACACGGTGGTACAGGTGTTACACGGTGTTACATGGTTGTTACACGCTGTTACAGGTGTTACAGGGTGTTATACACTCTTTTTTTATAAGAAACTTTTTTATAAGAACGTCGAGGCTGAGATTGACTAAAATTTTAAGAAAATGCTAAGAACATAGCCAGGTTGAGACTTAGCTAAGAACATTTTTATTCACTTGTTTCATTGCATCAAGCTCTGAATACAACATTCCAGTATCCATTCAAACAATTACCAAAATGTAACATTTCAAATATCTCAGTGAATAAAGCAGTTCAAATCAGCTCAAAATACTTGAATGCACATTTATTATAGCAACAACATGAATTTCTATCACATAAAATGTTATTACATTTTCATGGACACGTTCGAATCTTTTTTGTGAAATTCTATACCATGTAACTTAAGAACATGTTAAGAACAGTCGGTCTTGGTTCAGCCTCAGCTTTAAAATTAGAAGTTCTTATATAAAAATAAAGAGTGTATACGACATAGCATTTTAGAGTGCGAATAAGGACCAAAACGAGTGCACATATGAGACTGTATTACACTCGTCTTAGTCCCCTTGACCGCGCGCTACGGAAAGCCTAGATTTTAGGAAATAACAATGTCGTATAATAAAAACATTTATACCGTGAAAACTTGTATAATACTGCTGGGCATTTTTCTCGTCAAAACTGACTTGTAAAATTACCCAGCATACCCAGCCGTATTATACAAGTTTCCGCTGAATAACTGCCTCTTTTTACACGGAGTTACTTGGATAAGTTGTTGTTGTTGTTGTTGTTGTTGTTGTTTGTTGTCATTACCGCATGCAAGAAGGCTAGTCAGGTAATTGGTGTATTGTTGAGACTCAAGTACTAAGTGCTAATCTCTGCCAAATTACAGCTATTCTAGGCTATCCTCCCATATCTAACATACTGTCATCTGACCTGGTATTTCTGCAGGGCCAGCGCTACATGGAAACTAGAAACGAGCGCTGGAAAGGGGTTTAGCGCGCTGTTTTTTAGAGAGAACAAATCAACATAGAAGCAATGATTGGAGCCTGCAGAGCTACCCCACACTACTGGACAGACAACTACAAGAAATCGCATTACTCACTAATGTACCAATGTGCCTGCAAAATGACTGCGATAGCCGATTTACAGGCTACCTTTTGCCTTATAATCTAAGGAGGACTGAATTTACACTCCGGAATATTTAACACTGTTACCTATGGGAAGCGTTCCCTCAGATAGTTATGGCCGAAAATGTGGAGCATGGTGCCTGACAACTGAGAAAACTTCTATCCATCCAGACATTTAAAATGCTGTAATATGGAACTTGACTCATTGTAGGACTAATCGAGACTGCTGACATAACTGTGACCTCTGTAGTACTACTAAGTCAGTACCTTGGCCAAGAGATTTTGACAGATTATTTTTCATTTCTCTGTATCAACCTGGGGCGTTGGTAAGACTATAAAAAACGGAACATTATGGGGCTGGTTGTTTTATAGCGAGATATCTGATTAGGTATAAATCTAGGATTAGCGTCAACTTCAAAAAATCCAGATTTGTAAGTTGACAGAAATCACATGCATCTGTTATTCGTTTTTTTTTCTCTCATGTTTTAATACAAGACTGTAACTAAAATTAGCAGTGCAGAAAACTTTATTAATAGAAATCTAGCTTGAGTAGCTTTTAATCTATTATTCTCATTCATCGTAATAAAGCATGGACCTGTGTCCAAGCACAGTCTGACTTTTGCAAAATTTGGTCGTCAAATATGATTGCGTCATGTGTGATTACACTTCAGTACAAATCAAATGTAAATGACTGTAATATTCTCAGGCTCAAAAACGTGCTACAACCAAACTGGCTCACACTCACTGGTTCCCGTAATAAAGTGACCCCGGACAGTGCTCGAACCCGGAGTCCCACAACTATTTGGCCACCGCGCCTCAAAACAGGTTTTTATATACTCACACAATCTTGTTGGGTAATCACAATGAAAACAAAAAATCAATATGCGTCAACAACAGGCAACGTTCCCTGTAAAATAAAAAATATAAAGTTCACTCAACACAGTTACCTCCGGCGGACGTTCATGTCAGCTTGACATTTGTTTTTTCTCGGCGCGACTGATTTGCGCTTTACACTACAAACGAACACACATTTATAGTCACGCGAGTCATCCAATCTGTGACTCAGAGGAAATTTAGATTACTGAACATCAGGTATACAGAACTGTCACTTCACCAGCTTACTGTTTGGAGCAAGAAATAAACTTACCGTGCCCGGTTTTTCGATCTTCTGATCAAATGAAACCAAAAGAGGTAAACTGAAATATCAGCGTCTTAATAATAATACCCTACAAAACAAACACAAATGCAGATTGAGTTATACACAAAAACGTTTGAACTCGAAACTTTGAACTCCAAAGTCGGAAGGGCCGGGAAGAAACCTGAAGAAACGTTCTGTTAATGTGCTAAGCATGTCATCCCAGTTTATTTGCGAACTTCATTTTTGTGTCAAACGGTCAGATGGATAGTCCTCGATCATCGATAATTTCGTTCTTGT